CAGCTTCCCAGGGAAGCCGTCGCTGAGTCCGGCGGGGCCCAGACGGCTCCAGGTCAATACTCGCCGCTCGGGCCCCTGGGGCTCCGCACCGAGGGCCGAACGGGAACGGGGCCTGGGGCGGGGTGAGGCGGATCTGGTGTCACCTTTCCAGGCTCTTCCCCGCTTCCTCCACTTTCCCAAAACTGCGCGTCTTCTCCTTTAAGGGGTTGGGCCTCCTCCCGCCCTCTCCAGAGGCGACTGAAGTTTCCGTGGAGCCTCCTCTCCTTTCCAGAGACCCCAAATTGTGCTTCGTGCACCTCAAACGCTCCTTCCCCCATGCCCTCCCGACCCCCTCTGTGACCTCCCTATTCTCGGCCCCCAGACTCCCAGCCTCTCCCCGAGGCCCGAGCATCCTTGGGGTTTCCTGCCCTTAGCTGCCCTGTCCCCGGATGGAGCCAGAGAAATGTGGTGGGGGGGCCGGGGCCAGAGTTTCAACATCGCCCCCCAGGAGAAGGAGCCAGAGATGGGGGTAAGGAGTGGAAACTCGGGTTGGGCGCTGAGGTGGGTGTGAAGGAGAAAGGGTCTGGAGGAGGTGGAGGGTGTGACCCACTTCCCTGGTGGACGGGCCTGGCCCCTGGCTCAAGTTCATTGCCTCATTATCCATTAACCAGCCCCTCCCTTCACCGGCTGCCCAGCTGGTGCTGAGCTTCCCAGGCGGATCTCAGTTTCCCCAGAGGCTGAATGCAGCCGCGGGGCTGGCAGCTAGGTCATCCCAGGCCCCAGGGCGGAGTGACCTGAGGGTCAACCCTGTGTCCTTCTCAGGTCTCTGGACCAAAGTCTGCCCAGGACAGTGGGATGCCAGAACCCAGGAGCCGCCAGCTTGGCAATTCCCTGGCCTCTGGTCGCCTCCCAGGTAATGACACCTTTCCAATATTTCTGATCCCCAAAGAGGCCTCCACTCTTTCTGGACTCCACTCCCCCTTGCTCCGCCTCTCCCCAAAGGTGCCTTCTCCTCTCCCTAGCAAGCGCTGCCCCCGTCTGTTCCCTGTCTGGGCCAGGGCCTTGGAACCTGCTAGTCCCTGTTTTCTTGCTTCCCACCCCCACCTTGTACTTATTCAGTGAACATCTGCGAGCCTACTGTGCGCTGCACCTCTCGAGGTTCTAGAGTAAAGAATACAAATGCTCGCCTCCTAACGTCATTCCAGGGGAGCTGGGAGAGGAGCTTAATCTTCCCTGTTTAAAACCCCCTGTCCTGGAGGGCTGAGCACACCCTGTGGATGGTGACACAACAGAGGACCTGGAAACCCCAGAGCCTGCGTTCCTTCCTCCCCTGCAGGGGAGAAGATCTTAGCCTGGGCCTCAGGAGTCAGGAAGGGGCTGGAACCCGAACTGCCTGGAACCCTGGTCTGCACCAACTTGAGGGTCACCTTCCAGCCCCGCGGATGGCAGCGGAGCCAGGTGCGATGGCTAGGACCTGGAAAGGGCGCCCGGGAAACGGCAGGGGTGTCAGAAGGATTTGGACACACGGGAAGTGACGGTCACACCTGCGTGCTGTGTCTTGAATGGCTCAGGGGTCCTCACTAGGACGAGCTCCGTTAGCGGCTGGGGCAGGGAAGGGGGACCCCAGAAGCCTTTAGCCCTGTCATGTGCTTCCCCAGGACACACCCCTGAGCAGTGCCTATGATTTTGCTCTGGTCAACATCGCGCATTTAGAAGCTGGTAAGTGTGGGTTTGGTGAAGGTGTGGGAGCCCCTCCAGGCCCTCCTTGTTCTCAGGAGGGGGGATGCAGTGGGTCGCGCTGGAGGCGTTCCCGTGGATGGAGCCTGACCCGCGCTACCCTGCTTTCTAACTCTTGACTGCAGTGAGTGGCCTGTCCCGTGTCCAGCTCCTCCGCCCAGGGTCCCTGCTTAAATTTGTGCCCGAGGAGATTCTGATTCATGGCCGAGACTTCCGGTTACTCAGAGTTGGTTTTGAGGCTGGAGGACTGGGGCCTCAGGCCTTTCAGGTAAGAGGCCCTGACCCAAGGGCCCCTGCTCCCCCTAGAACCTCAGGTACTTTCCTTGGCAGTTCCGGAACATTCCTACCCCAGGATCCGTCTCTTCATTCTCTCCGCTGCTTTCCTCACGGACAGTCCAAAGGCCAGGAAGTAACAGGAATGAGACTAAGGGGCCTGAATCAGCCCTGTGCCGGCCAGTGTCAGGACTGTGACTGGGCGAGCTTCTCCTTTGAAAAACAGCTGGGGCCTCCCTGGTGGCGCAGCTGGTTGGAGTGCAGCACTGTGAAGCGGCGATGGCCACTTCAGTGCGCGTTTGATCCCCGCCCTGGAGGTGACACACAGGGTGCAGCAGACCTCTCCTGTCTCCCCGCTGTTCCTCTCCGCAGTGTGCTTCGTCCATCTGCCTCTTTTGCTCCCCACCTGTCTGTGGAGAATCCTCTCACGGTCCCTGTACTTTTGGCCTGTACCCCAGTTCTGTCTGCCTAAATAAATTTTAAAATCTTAAAATGTAAAAAGAAAAACAGCTGGCTGAGATTATTCCCAAGGTGCTTAAGTTCCTGTTTCTGGATGTGTTCTGCCCCAGCCCCATGACCTGTGGAAGCTCTTTGCTGTACTCTGGCGGCGACAAAGACAGTGGAGTAACACGTGGGTCCCCATTGCTTCCATTTCTTCAGTCTGAGGGATGTCCTTCTCTCCTTCCTCAGGTGGCTATGGCCATCGCACAAGCCAGAGCTCGGAGCAGCCACGGCCAGCAGTACACAGGGGTGACCATGAGCAAGGCTGGTGAGTGAGGCTGTGTGAGGGCGAGGGAAGGGCGAGCTGTCCAAAAGGCTGAGTGAAGACAAGAGAATTAAGCGGCACGGTTCCTCTGCCCACTGCTTCCCTAGGCCGGAGTCCTGGCTCTGGAAAACCACCTGTCCCCCTCCTGGAGACACCAGAAGACTGGGAGGCTGAGCGCGAAAGGCAGGGGGCCAGGGGCTGGAGGGTTAGCACTGTCAACGAGAGGTTCGACGTAGCCACCAGGTGACCCCTCTCACCCGCCCACCTTGGCCTCCATCCCCACGCAGCCCTCACCCTTTAAAGGATTCCCTCAAACTCCAGCTTCCTTGGATGCCCAGAGCCACCCCTCACCTCCGGGGTCTCTAGCCCTGGGCCTCCTGCTCCCCACAGCCAGGCTGTGACTGCCTCTCCATTTCACAGCCTCTCTCGTTACTTCTGGGTGCCCAAGCGGACTCTGGACAGTGAGGTCAGAAGAGCATTTGGCCACTTCCACCAGGGCCGTGGACCGGTCAGTGTGAGGGTCTTGGGAGGTCAGGGGTCAACGTGAAGGAAGAGGACCCTGTGAGGTAGGGGCTGGGCGGGAGGAGGCGCTTCTCCCACAGTGACCCCCCTCACTGTCCAGCGCCTGTCCTGGCATCACCCGGGAGGCAGCGATCTTCTCCGCTGTGGTGGCTTCTACACAGCCAGTGACCCTAACAAGGAGGACATTAGGTAAGGGGCAGTGGCTGGGAAGAACCCAGGCTTAGATGACCATGGATGGGGCAGATGCCTGCCCTGACTTCCCGACTCCCTCCCCAGAGCAGTGGAGTCCATGCTCCAGGCTGGGCATTCGGATGTTGTGCTGGTAGAAACGATGGACGAGCTGCCCAGTCTCACAGATGTCCAGGTGGCCCATCTGAGGCTGAGGGCCCTCTGCCTGCCAGGTGAGAATAAGTAGCCCCACCCCCGAGACCAACCTGGTTCACGCTGGCCTGCGTAGGGGGACCCTTGGGTGAGCCCATCTCTGGCAGACGCGCCCCACCTGTCTTCCTGCCCCCGCTGGCCCTTTGACAGCTTTGAGGTATAACTCACGCGCCTAAGGTCACCTCTACCCACCCGCAGTGTACAGTTCAGTGGCTGGCACTGTATTTAGTGTTGGACAACGACCACAATTTAACTTTAGAAAACTTAGGGCTGTTTCAGCTACTTCTCATTCCTAACCCTTGAGGCCTCCGCTACCCGACTTACCAACCCTTCGGGCCACAGACCCAGGATCCCAGTTCTCCCCCTCCCGCCCACCAGATTCATCTGTAGCGGAGGACAAATGGCTCTCAGCGCTGGAGGGAACACGGTGGCTGGACTACGCCAGGTACTCCGCTTTCTGGTCACGGGCTGTAACTCGGCCCTCTTCTGGCTTCCCGAGACTTGTCACTGCACGGAAGACGGGGCAGGACTGTGTCCCTGACGCTTCCCTCGGGCCTGTCATTCTTCCCTCCTCCCCAGGTCTTGTCTCCGAAAGGCCAGTGACATTTCAGTTTTGGTGACATCCAGGGTTCGCTCTGTAGTACTTCAAGGTGAGTTCCTTGGTCAGCCCACCCCATACCTTGCTTTCCCTTTCCCCACCTGACTGGATTCTGTCCGAGAAGAGCTATCAGGCTTCCTCAGCCCCCACCCCCCACCCCAGCCAGGCTCTCGCTTACCGTGAAGTGCCGCCTCTGCTGCCCCACCAAACCTGCCGCCCTAAGAGCCCTAAGAGCAGGGTTGTCCGCTGCTCCTGTTCTCCCGCAAGTGGATGGGGCTGGGCCTGTGGTGGGAGGGGCAGTGCGGAGCGGGTCTGAGGTGGGCACTTCTGCCCCCTGAAGCTGGGTGTGTGTGTCCAGGAGTCCATGAAGTGAATCATTGAAGGTCTTTGTTTTCTCTTCACTCCTCTGTACCTGCTCAATCCTGCTACCCACACTCCTCCTCTGTGCCTCTCATTCTCGCCATGCTTCCTCCCCTCCTCCTCTTCTGTGCGAGCTTCCCGGCTGCTCCTTCTTTGTCCCTTCTCCCTCTTTATCACCCAGAGCGCGGTGATCGTGATTTCAATGGCCTCCTCTCTTCACTCGTCCAGCTGCTTTCAGACCCTGAAGCCCGAACCCTGCGTGGCTTCCAGTCACTAGTGCAGCGAGAGTGGGTGGCAGCTGGGCATCCCTTCCTGACCCGACTTGGGGGAACTGGAGCCAGGGCAGAGGTGAGAATACTTCGGGAGTGTGTTGGGGCTACTGCAAAAGTAAGGGGGTGACATGACTATGCAGCATAATCCTTTTGAGGGGAGTCGTCAGAAGGCCCCTGAGGTGAGGCTGAGCTCGAAGGGGGACCCAGGTGAACGGGGCGCTGAGTCCCCCTGTTCCCTCATCCAGTTTCCATTCCCTGACCTCCTCAGCAGTGCCTGTTCCTTCCTCCCTCACCCCCATTTGTTCTCACAATCCCTTGTGACCTCTCCCTCTCGCTCTCTGCAGGCCCCAGTGTTTCTCCTTTTCCTTGATTGCGCCTGGCAGCTCCTCCAGCAGTTCCCGGCTGAGTTTGAATTCTCTGAGTTTTTCCTTCTTGCGCTTCACGATAGTGTCAGGGTTCCCGACACCCTCACATTCCTGCGAGATACTCCCTGGGAGCGAGGAAAGCAAAGTGGACAGGTCAGTGACTTTCATTTTGATGTGGCCTCCTCACAAGTTTGGTCTAGAATCATGGAAAGTGAGGCCCGTGGGCGGGAAAGGGCGGTTGTTCAGTCTCTGACCCGCCTTTCATGTGACACCCACGCGTGGTGTCAGAGGTGACTTGCATGATCCCCCTCCAGCCTTGGGACAACGATGTACCTTTAACCATCTTGTTTCTGCTGTCTAGTTCAAATCTTACACGCAAGTCTACACCCCAGGCTACTCCCAGCTCCCTGCTGGGAGCCCTGTTCCCCTGCAGCCGTCTGTCTGGGACTGGGATCTGCGCTACAGCAGTGAGCAGATACTACAGTTCCATAACCCTGGCTACGCCCCGGAACACCGCCCAGGTTCCTGGCTCCCCCCGCAGCAGGTGAGGAGTCTAAGGTATCCACCTCCTTTGCCTTCCTCACAGGCTCTTCCTTTTAGCGAAGGGGAAGTGGAAGGACAGTGTCTGCGTTTCCCAGGGAATGCTCCCTTCTCTTCCGTCCAGTCACCGTCCATGCTCGTCCCAGGAAGGCAGGCAGGCTAGGGAGGGCCAGGGTGTCCTGTGTCCTCCCGTTTGCTAGTCTCAGCCAAGCACACACTTCAGAGTCCCCGCAATCCCGTTTTACTCCACCTTGAGGCCCACTCTGAAGCTAACGAGAGAGGAGTTAAGTTCTCGGGTAGTTTGATCACAAGTACACAGCGACTGGGTGGCAGCTGGACCTTTCTCTCTGCCCTAGTTTGGGGAAACTGGGAGCCTGCGTCTAGAGGGTCATTTGATTTCCCTTTCCTCTTCAGCCAAGTTTCATTGTTCCCGGACCGCCCAGCTCTGTGTGGCTCTTCTCTAGAGGGGCCCTGAGTCCTCTGAATCAGCTCTGCCCCTGGCGGGACAGTCCCTCCCTCATGGCAGTCTCTTCTCGTTGGCTGCCTCGGCCTGCCATCTCCTCTGAAAGCCTGGCTGACCAGGAGTGGGGGCTCCCCTCACATTGGGGGGCTTGCCCTTTACCCCTGGGGCTGCTGCTCCCTGGGTACCTGGGACCCCAGATCAGGTTCTGGAGACGCTGCTACCTGAGGGGACGGCCTGAGGTCCAGGTAAGGGAAGACTAGGCGTGGGAGAAGGGGTTTCAGTGCAGATCCAGATGTTCTAGGAGAAACCAGTTGTTTCCAGGCGCTAGAAAGACGAGGGTTGGGGGGCTGGGGAGTGTCACTTCTGGTACCAGAGTGGGCAGCTGTTGGGAGTATGGGAAATGGGGGTGCACTGGCCCATGCCACTTGGCCCATGAGTGTCCCCAGAGGATAGAAACCGGAGGAGGGCCCTCGGGCACCCTTTCTGCCCTCCGCAGCACGCCAGGTGGGCGTTTCCCTAAACCCAGCTTTGCTGGGCCCAGAGGCCTAGTCTGAAGCCTGCAGGTGGAAGCCGGGGCGGAGCTGGAGGGCAAAGAGCTGGAAGCGCCCGGCAGGCCTTGGGTGCAGTAACGGCCCTCTGCCCTCTGCCCCCTCCCAGATGGGCCTCTCGCCTGCCACGGTCGCGGGCCTGCGGGCGGAGCTGTCCCACCTCCAGGAGCTGCTCCGGAAATGGACACCGAGACTCCGTCCCGGGGAGCGGGGCCCCGGCTCCGTTCTCTCCCAGCCCTGCTGAGGCTGCTGTCTCCGGGGCGGGAAGGGGTCGCCTTCTTCACTGGGCAGACGGTCCGGAGCTCCAAAGGGCCAAGCCTCGGCCTCGCATCAGGCCTCACCTGGCGGCGCCACTGCAGCAGGCGGAGCGCAGCCTGCGGGCCTGGCCTGCCCGGCCCCCCACACGCGTGTTTTTCTTGGGATCTGAAGAATCACAAAACGGAAACGAAGAGCCCAGAACGTGGCCGCCTCTTCCAGGGCCACCGGCCTCCCCCCGGCGCAGCCTCCCCGGCCAGAGGGCCGCGGCCTTCAGCCCAGGAGGCTGCGCTTCCCGCCCCCGTGCCGCGCGCGCCCCCTCCCGGCGGCCCGGGCACCGCGCCGGGCGCCGACTGCCCGCTGAGGGCGCGCATTAAAGCAGTGTTCCGCACCGCCGCCACGGCCTCGCGTCTGCGCCAGGACCCGGGGAGGGCGGCAGGGCGCCACAGGGCCGCGGCTGGGCGGTCTGTCCCTCCCGCTCCGGCGGCGGAGGGGCTCGCGAGACGCTGTCGCGGGGTGCTGTGGAGACGGAGGTCTAGGGCGCAGCGCCTCGGTTCTGCCACGCTGGACCGCCCACTCCCCGTCCGCCTGGCGCGGCCGTCCCCGCCTCGGACACGCCGCGCTCCCCGGCCCTGAGGGAAAGCGAGATCCCAGCCCCAGGCCGGGGGGGCGGCGAGGGGGCGGGCGCCCCAAGGGACCAGACCGCGGGCTTGGGGGGACTTCGCCTCCCACACTAAGGTCTAGAAAAGCCAAGGAGCTGCTGCAGTCACATTTCCGGGAGCCGTGGGCACGTCGCAGCCAGCCCCGGCTGAGGGGGCCGCACCGCTCCGCCGCCCACCCCGTGGGACGCCGACGCAGCCGCTCCACCCGCCAGTCAGGGCCCGGAGGCTCCTAAGATGGCCGCCGCCGCTTCCGGGCCCGCCCCGCCCCGGAAGTGGAAGCGCGAGGTCAGGGGGCGGGATCGCTGCCTGGAGACGGCGGGAGCGCCTTCGCCATGGCTGCCGGGCCCATTTCCGAGAGGAACCAGGGTAACTGAGGGAGCGAGGCCGCCAAGGGCGCGGGAGGCGGGGAGGCGACGGCCGCGGCTGCCGGCGGGGCTGC